GCGCTGGGACTGGCCGGCTGGGCGCGGTCCAGTCCGAACCCTGCGCGCCCTCGCGGGTTTCCTGGAACGAGTATTTTGCGTCTTGTGACTCGGTTTTCAAACCTGTAAAATGGGACTGCTAATCTCAGCTCGTGTCACAGTGTGACTTCAGGGCAATTTCCTTCCCTTCCGTTCTTGGTTTCTTACCTGGAAGAAGGAGAACAAATGTGCCTCCCTCCGCCAGGGCTGTCTCCACTGGAGTGTAAAGTCTGGGAGGGCTAAAGCCACGTGTTTTCCTCTCCACGATATAACACCAGGCTCAGTGCCCGAAACATTCAGTATTTGTTAAGTAAATGAATATAAAGGTCTGGGACAACCCTGAGTCCAGGCACATTAGTGAGCCCTTGACAAATGGACACATTTGCTTTGCTTGGTGCAAATGCTTGCCAACGGTGTGGCTTCCTGTCTACTGAGTTTTATTTTCCTCCTCCACCTTAACGGGTGGGTATGAGGACTGAACAATGATCCAAGGACAGCACCTACAGTATGTCCTCAGCAGATGGTATGTATGGAAGAGTCTTCAAGGTATGAAAAAAGAGACAGGATTTGGTAAATTTGAAGGTAGAGGAATTGGGTGTCTTAGGAAATATATTCTGTGAATACAAACTTATATATTTTGTATTTTTAAGATTTTGAGCCAGATGAATCTGTTCTCAAAAAAAAAAAAAAAAAAAACACATGGGCTGGGGATGTGGCTCAAGCGGTAGCGCGCTCGCCTGGCATGCGTGCGGCCGGGATTCGATCCTCAGCAGCACATACCAACAAAGATGTTGTGTCTGCCGAAAACTCAAAATAAATATTAAAAAAACAAACAAACACACAATTGCCAGAGGCAGTGGCCACACCTGTAATCCTAACCACTAGGGAGGCTGAGACAGGAGGATCATGAGTTCAAAACCAGCCTCAGCAGTTTAGCAAGGCCCTAAGCAACTCAGCAAGACTTTGTCTCTAAATAAGATATATATATTTTTAAAAGGGCTGGGGATATGGCTCAGTGGTTAAGTGCCAATGGTACAAAAAAAAAAAAAAAAACCCACCAGCACAATTGCAATAAAAATGAATCTAGCCTTAGGGGAGAAAAGTATTATCTGCATATGGCATAAGGAAGAAAGGAGGCATATGAAACTGAGGGTCTGAGTCCTGCCCAGGATCACAAACAGCAAGGAAATGGCAAAGAGGAGATTTGAATGCAAATTCAATGGACTCCAAATTAAATACAAGGAGCAGAGGGGAGAAAACTCACCTCCCTCACTTGCCTTTCCTCATTTCCACCAAGAGGAGGCACTTGGCCCCAAGGAGAGGCAGGAGGGAGGGAGGGAGAGAAGCTAAAAACTCGATCGATGTCAGGTGAGCAGATCCCAAGGGCCAGGCCCGGGAGCCCAGGTTCGATGCTGATGGCAATGGGCAGCC